CAAAAGGAGCCCGGTTTGTTACCCTGAGAACAAAGGCACTGATACGTTAAATATTTCTAGAACATAGAGAAGCCTGCTGGAATCCCACACAGCGGCTGCTGAATTCGGTGAAGCCAGGCTTCCTCCAGCTGCCGGCCACGGAGGCCGGGGAGAACCAGAATGGAAGTCGAGCCCATTCGAAAGACTCCGGATTGCGTGTGGTTTACCAGTCTGTACGGAAGCCTGCGATCGGTGAACCCGTCTTTCTTGCCTTGAAAGCATTTGGGTTAAACGTAATGTGAGAAGCAGGCTGACTTTAGTCCACCTGGCTTATTTCGTCATCTGGTTGGGATTTGAATTTACGACTCTAGGGCTTAGGACCGGCACATGGAAGTTGGCTTTGATAATATTACTGCTTTCTCAAAGAGACATCTAGTCATGCAGGCATGAATATTCATATTTATGCAGGTCGTATTTTAAAACCGGGGGAGGGGGACCACCATGATGATAAAGACGTCTTGCTTTGGAGACGTCTAACTTTGGAGACAATGTCCGTGGTTTCAGACCATGGCTTTCTGCCATTAAGGGAATATTCAGCTACACACAGCATAGCAGGCAAGCTCCATCCTTGATCTGCTTCATACCAAAGGTGTGCCATCAAATCAATTTCGACTTGACGACGAACCTTTTCAGGGTTTTCTAAGCAGAGAGAAGTTAGAGGTGTTCAACTCGTCTGGGGTGCTCTGCGATGAACCTTTTCAGGGTTTTCTAAGTAGAGAGAAGTTAGAGGTGTTCAACTCTTCTGGGGTGCTCTGAGACTCTGCAGCTTGCCCAAAGCTACAGAGGCTGGCTTTTCTCCCAGGAAGACCCAGTGGAGAATCAAACGCTCGTCCCCTGGCTCTGTATGGTGGTGAGAGCTTCCATATCGGAGGCAGTCAACGCTACAGAGGCTGGCTTTTCTCCCAGGAAGGCCCAGCTCGTCCCCTGGCTCGGTATGGTGGTGAGTGCTTCCATGCTGGAGGCAGTCAAGGGACAAGCGGAGAACCGTCTGTCAGATCTGTTTTGATTTTGATGCCTGCCTCGACCAGGGGGGTTGGACTTGATGGCCTTTAGTGGCCCCTTCCAACTCCATGATTCTATGATTCTATACTCCCAACTCACTGAGCCATTGAGCCCACATGTGATTTGCGACATCTCTCTCTGTGTTTTTAAAATGTACACATATCTTGTACATGGAACAAAACACCTGGGAAGAAGTAGGTGGCCCACCGTCAGAGTCTTGATAAGCCACCTGCTTTTAATGTCTCTCTGCTGGGGAGATGATGTTATCGCATAATAACCAGGTGATGGGGTGAAGCAGATTTGATGAGTTACAGGCTGTATGAGCCAACGAAGACAGATTTTATCCACCTTCATCTGTTTGTGTGTCTGCCAAGACGGGGTGTTAATGTGGAACCAATGCTGAGTCATAATAATCACACTTTCCTAGGAGATTAAATATGACTGCTGGATTTCTGAGATTCGCTTGCTGGAGGAATTTCACTGCTTTTGGACCCCAAACCCCAACCCTTCATCATCCCCACCAATCGCTTACAGGTTTATCTTGTTTTACTTCGAGCACTGCCCTGCGATACACGGTCATCAAAACCAAAAAGAATAAGACGATAGAATGTCAGGAACATCGTAAAAAAGCAAACACAATGAAGTTATTCCTTGCTCACAGCATCTTCCCCCCCCCAATCCTCTTTTCAATGCCTGTTGCCGACGAGTGACAGCAAACAAACCAAGCATCTTAATTAACCAGACAGAGGATTCGAGGCGCCCGCATGGCATTGAAACCACACGCTCGACTCTGCCGCTGAGCGAGGGATCAATCCGGAAAGAAAATGGGCTTTAAAAAGGAAGGCCAAAAGCAAAAACTGGGTTTCTGTCGGACCCTGTTGGGCTCTGCAAAGCAAGAAACCCCATTCAGGATCTCTCATGCAAATGTTTTTGAAAACTGTTTGTGCATTACATAACGGAATGTGTAAAAGGGGATGAGGGAGAGTGACATTTTTAAAACACGCAGAGTTGGGACCAAAAATCATATAATAATACACAAGATGTTCCAGATCAGGGCATCCAACGGGCATGACCTGAAAGTACCAGCTGCTTTAAATCATCCCATTCAGAGCTTCTGGTGTTCTATTACTGTTCTACATGGCATCCAGGTTAAAAAAAAAATAAGGCTAATATACCTACTTAGAGTAGGGCACATATTTAGACCGTGGACATTTGATGTATGCTCATTGTTTTCAACTTTAATTCTTTTCTTCCATTGTTATAAGCCACCTCCTTTTCAAAGAGAAAGGGTGTGTGTGAAAATATTTTAAATAAAAATAAAAACAAAATCTGCGTTACAGACAGACCTCGGCCCGAACCGATTTCCACACTTTAGAAGCAGACAAAAACAAACCAACCAAACAGAGAAAAACAAACCCACCACCTCGTTGTGTTTATGAGATGCGCCTGCACAATAGAGGAAAGAAAGTGATTTAAATCATCATCATTATCATCATAGAACTGCAGAGCTGGAAGGGGCTTTATGGATCATCATGTCCAGCCCAGTGGGGGAATCGAACTCCCAACCAGATGCCTAAACCACTGAGCCACCCAGCACTTCATACTGTTTATACAATTCCTCCTTATATTATGAAATTCATCAGGCTGATGACGGCCATAATCTCAGATGGCTGCAAAATGGGATTAAATCAATTCATGAAAGAGCGTTTGGCTGACAGCAGTTGTTATTATTAGCCAAGGAAGCTTAGACTCTCCATGACCCGGTGGTGCCTTGCAGATGTGACGGACTGTAATGCCCATCATCCCCCCGGCGTATGGCCAGCCCATGTGAGGTGCAAGGGCCTCCAGGCTGACTAAAACAGTCCGTACCCTCAATACCAGATGCTGGAAAGATAAACGGAAATCCATTTTTCCTTCATTCACGGCTTGCTCGTAAGCTTTGGAGAAGCATCTGGAGGCCTCATTTTGGAAACATCAGAAGTTCTTTAATATTCTTGGAGAATGCTTCTCCCCATTTTTCTCTCTTGGGGGGGAGGGAAAGTGGGTTCCTCAAGAAGATTAATACCCAGCAGTTTATTCTGGCATATTGATCTGTTTGTCTCTGTGTCTGTTTATTCATCTAAGTAGTCGAGAATCTGCTCTGGGTTTTTGTCAGACATTTAAATAAGCGCTGAACCAATTTTGGAGATAGGGTAGAGTCTTCTTTGTACCCGTCTGTTGGTTAGTCAGTTTATCTATCCACCTGCTATGCCTCAATTTCTCCGTTTCTGATTTATTAACAGCACTAAGATTATTAAATTCATTTTCCAATTCTAGATTAGCTAGGAATTAGAAAACAATGTACACTTTCCCATTAAATGAATGGTCTGGGATAGGGCTGCTCAGGACAAGCTAACCTGTAATACTGAAGTGAAGGAGGGTTTGATTAGTAAGAATATATTTATAGATAGACGAAGAGAAGGCATTGATTATGTGCTAAGGAAGGGAAGAAGGCATAGACCTTAGCAAGCGCCAGTGAAGTTTTAGGAAAGGAAAGGGGATCTGTTAGGAGGCGGGGGAATGGCTGTCACTCCAAATGGTCACAGTTATGGGGGGGGAATCGAACTTGTGTGTGTGTGTGTCTGTCTGTCTGTCTGTCTGTCTGTCTGTCGTACTAGGTTATTAGATGTTTTTGTTTGTATGGTTTTGTTTTATTAATTTTTTAATTCTTTTTTAAAAAAGAATTTGAAATCCAAATTGTCCCATTTGATTTTGGAGTTTTCACTCTCAATTTCTGGGTTAGTCGGTCTGTCTGTCTCTCTACCTGCCATCCAACCATCCATCATCTAGTTCTCTCCTCATATACACACATCCTTGCTTTCCCACCTGCTTTGAATCCCACTTCACACACACACACACACACACACACACACACAGAAGGCCAGTGATGTGACACCTCATCACTTCCCGACACCACAAACACACACACACACACACAGAGAATGCCAGTGATGTGAGACCTCATCACTTCCCACCACCACCCCCCATCACACCTGCTGGAATTGTGAGACCTCCCTGAGAACAAGGCTATTCTGAGACTCTGGGGATGATGGGGGAGATGATGGCACAGCGAGGGACACTCTGGCTGCTATTTTCTCATCAGAGACTGGCTATTTCAGCAACCGCGAAACAACAACAATAGCATCAGCAATAATGATGATGATGATGCATCCACCCCATGGCCATCCCTGACTGCTCTCCCCACCTTTCACTGGGGGACCCATTCTTGGCACCCACTCCGTCCTCCTCCTCTTGGAACAGCCAGGCTGGAAAGGACGCTATGGGTCACGGACTCCAGCCCTTGTCAAAGGGGCCTAGTGGAGGAATCGAACTCCCAACCTCTGGATGCCCAAGACCCTTTCTCAACAAAAGCAGGGGGTTTAGGGTTAAGGGCACCGATGACCCACTCTCTGGGTAAAATAACAGTGGCCTGCTCTAACAGCCAAGGATCCGGAGTCACTCTGGTTTCCGTGTAAACCCTCTCCCCGCTGCTGCCAGCGAAGCTGGGGCAGAGTCCCCGCCTTCGCGATAAACCCAGAACCCCTAGCTTGGTTCCTCCAAAGCCGTCCCCCCTTGAGCTGCCGCCTGAAGACCCGCAGCACTGGGGGGGGGACACACACACTTGGGAAAGAGGGTTTGAACCACGAGGGATCCTGTGGGGCCAAACCTCGCCCGCCAACCTTGCCTCCCCCCCAACCCAACGGGAGAGGCGTGGGGCGACAACCCCCATCATCCCCGAATAGCCCCACCGATACTTCCCGAGGGCACCCCGGAGGGGAAGACCGACTCGGGGCAGAGAAGCCGGCGAGGGGAAGGAGCGCTGGGGGGTCCGGGCTGGAGGTCCGAGTTGTAGGGGGGGGCACCCACGTCGGATGCCCGGCTGGGGACCAAGGGCAGCGGTGCCCAGCGGAGACACTTACCGCTCACTGCCAGCCTGCCCGGGGCGGGCACCTGTTCGCTGCCCCCCCAGGCCGCCACGATGGACCGCATCCTCCTCCTTCGAGAGACGGCGGCGGCGGTGCCCAGGGGGTGCCCAGTCCAGCCAGCCACGCTGCCCCCTCCAAGGGGTGGCAAAGTTGCTCCGCTTCCCTTCCGATGCCCTCCAAGAAAGAAAGGAACCGAAAAACACCCCGCGCTCTCTCTGGCACGCCGGCCCGGAGGGGCAGCAAGGGGGTGCCAGGGAGGACCGAGGCTGGCAGGGGCAGCCCGCGATGCCCACCCGGAGCGCTAAAGGCTCTCGAGGCTCCCGGCCGCTTGCCTTCTGCTGTCCCCCCAGGGGCGAGGATGGGGCGAGGTACAGCGGAGAAGCGGCATCGTCAGGTGTGGGGTCCCCCCCTCCTCTCTCGTCCCAGCTTCTGCTCCTGCTGGCGGTGCCCTCCTCGGTGCCAAGACAGCCCCTGCTGTCGGGTGGCTTTGCCCCTTCATCTGCCAGGCAACCTTGCCATCCTGCGCGCTCTCTCTCTCTGCGCGCTCGCTCGCTCGCTCTCAGGCTCTGGGGCCAGATGCGCTTCTGCTGCCAGGATGCGGTGGCATGAGTTTAAATCTCTCTCTCTCTCCCCCCTCCTCCTTATCTCCTCTCTTTTTTCCCCCTTTCCTTCCTTCCCACCCCCAGATTTGGACCGGGGCGGACGGGGGGGGGAAGAGAAAGAGAAGAAAGAGGAGAAGGGAGCAGAGGAGGCGTTGGTTGCCAGCTGACAGCTAGGCGAGCAGAAGGGAGGCTTCTGCTGTGGTGGAAAGGGGGGGGGAGACAGAGAGAGATCCCCTTTAAAATACACACACACACACACAACACAAAGCCACCCCCGCCTGGTAGATCTTGCGTTTCCAGCCCACCCTCTCCCGCAAAGACCCAGCCTCGCCTGAAATAAAGAATAAGGAAAAACGGGCAACCTTTTAACTTTTCCCCCCTCCTTTCTTCGTGCATCCCAGCCAAATCTCCAGCAAACCTCTGGTGGTGTGGAGAAAGAAGCTAATTTATGTATCATCATCATCATCATCATCATCATCATCATCATCATCATCATCATCATCATCATCATCATCATCATTATCATCATCATCATCATCATCATCTAATTAGAACTGCAGGGCTGGAAGGGACTCCCAACCACTGGTTCCGCAGCCAGAGGCATAAACCATTTATTTATTTGGTTGTTATAGGTTTTTTGGGCTGTTTGGCCCTGTTCTGTTCTGTTCTGTTCTGTTGTGTTCTTTCTTTCTTTCTTTCTTTCTTTCTTTCTTTCTTTCTTTCTTTCTTTCTTTCTACTGCCCATCTGACCAGCAGTCACTCTGGTTAGTTCACAATGCAAGAAAACGTAGACGTCATGCCTGTAACAAAAATGCTCCAGATTGAAGTCATTTAAATTAAATAAACACCTTTCTTTCTTTCTTTCTTTCTGCTCCAGATTAAAGTCATTTAAATTAAATAAACATGGACCCAAGCAAACTACAACCCCATGCTGTAGAGCCTCTCATCAGAGCCTCTGAAACTTTCTCGCAGATCTCGAACTTGCTGCCATCCTGCTGAAGCCTCTAGAAGCAATCGATCACATAAGATGTCATCTGGGAACGGCAGAGCTGGAAGGGACCTTCTGGGTCATCCAGTCCAGCCCTTGTCAAGGGCGGCAGAGTGGGGGAATCGAACTCCCAGCTTCTGGCTCTGCAGCCAGAGACCGAAACCATTCAGCTGTCCAGCAGTTCTACACGTGCTTGAGATATTGTGACCCATGGGACGCCTGATTGCAATAGAGGGTCTTTGGCCCACCACTGGCCCAGCTCAACCTAGCCTTATCCAGGGGTGCCAGCCTACAAACCCCCATCATCCCCAGCGAGATAGCCAGAGAGGAGAATGGGAGTTGTAGTCCAGCCCATCTAAAGGGGTGGCTGGACTGTAGAAGCCAGAATGATGCTGGAATGCATTGCATTCCACTGGGAAATCACTCTTACAGCCCCGTGGGGGGGGAGGCGTGGAATTGAAGGCTTGCCCTGGCATTATATTGATCTTGGGTTAAATACTTAATTTAACAAGGAACCATGCTTTTTTTCTCTTTACAAAGAGCATCTAATCCCAGGCAAAAAAAAAACAACTGCTGGAAAACAAGGGATTTGAAAAAAGAATAGCCTGAGAAGGTGGAAGATAATGCTTAGCAACCACAATGGTGGCGGGTTGGAAATCTACCCCTTTCCCCAGGTGCTCGCTCTCCGTTCGTTCCCATCTCTCTCCTTTCTTCCTGTTTCCTAACCCTCCATCCTGACCTACTTTTCTCCCTGAGCTGCCCACGGTGTTCCCGTCTCCGCACACTCGCCACTCACTTCAGCTGCAATGTGACTCCCTGACCCACCCAGATTTCAGCAGAACACCGTTTTTCTCCATCGCTGTGTTACTGCAGATCCCGGTTTAATACTTTGGAGCCTTTATCAGTTCAGACAGTAAAGTCAATTTCCCAGGCCTCGCCTATAATACTGGTGCCATGCGTATCTATCTATCTATCTATCTATCTATCTATCTATCTATCTATCTATCTATCTATCTATCTATCTATCTATCTATCTATCTATCTATCTATCTATCTATCTATCTATCTATCTATCTATCCAGCCCTGTTTTGAGAGTCTCCGTAGCTATTGGCTAAGCTGCTGTGATGTCACAGAAGGTTCGCAACCAGCATTCAAAGTGTGAGCAGGAAAGGTCAGCCATGGAATAGCAACAATCATGACTGGTTCTGCAGGGGAAGTGAAAGGTCACTTTGCTGATGGGGAAATGAATGCGGCACCCTGATTTTTTTTTTTCATACCACAACAGCAGCCTCTTGCTTTTTGTGAGCCTGACTCTTGCTGTTTTTGTCGGTCTTGCCTCCTACTCTCTAAGAGGGTTGCCTACCTAAAGATGTTATTTCTGGACAAGACAAAGGTGTGTTGGGAACTTCTGAGTGACTCCCATCTGAGGAACGAAGGTAGGATGTAGATAATCATCAGACATCTACAAATCCTTAAATTCGTGTTGCTATGTGCTGTCAAGTCACCTCCGATTCATGGAGACCCTCTGAATGAGCTCTCCCCAAAACATCCTGTCCTCTTGCAAACTCAAGCCTGTGGCTTCCTTTAGGGAGCCCGTTCATCTCTTATTGGGTCTTCCTCTTTTCCTGCTGCCTTCAACCTTTACTAGCGTTATTGTCTTTTCCGGAGAATCCTGCCTTTTCAGGATGTGCCCAAGGTAGGACCAGCCTCAGCTTCAACGTTTTGCCTCCAGAGACAGCTGGGGCTTGGTTTCATTTAGGATCTATAAGTACTGCTCCATAATGAGGAGATTTTTGGAAATGCCAAGGTGGACCTGTTTGTATGGGGATGTTCAAGATCCTGGCCAAATAAAAGCCACTTCGTTATTCTTCTTGTTGCTTCGGATTATATCTTCCAGAATTTCCCAGTCCCATCATCTGCATCCTCTCTCTCTCTCTCATACATATGTACTCTTTCTTTCCTTCCCACCCACATTCCAACTTAGCTTATCCTTTCTTGACTGTGTTATCAATGATTAATCCCTCCACCCACACCTTCATATCAGGCTACTCAGCACACATGACACTTCTCACAGCCGGTAAAGCAGCCGGGGCTCTGGGCTCGCTCTTGCAGTTTGTCTTGGTCTTGCGTCTTCCTGAATCTTTCATGGGCTCTGGAAAGTAGGAGAGGATTTTTGGGGCAAATGACAGCACTCTGGGGAGGCCAGTAAAAGACAGCTGCTCCTCCTCAACATTTCTGCAGTGGCTAAGAAAGAAAATGACTTCACCTTTGGAGAGAAAACTGGCAACCTTCCATGATGATTAAGAAGCTTTCCCCCCCCCTCCGGCAATAAATGTAAGTTTTCTGTTTTTACCTAATTATAGATGTCCAGAATAGTGACTCCTGTTTCATAAACTGATTCCTAGCCCACTGCAATCTGTTAGCATAAATTAGTCAGCCTCCTCCAAAAACTGTAGGAGTACCCATATTTTGAACACATTGTGGAAATAAACGGTGACAGCGATTGTTTAGAAAAAATTTATATCTTCTCCTCTTTGGCTTGATTATAAGAAGGAGACATGTATAATGTCTGTGTGTGCATGTTTTAAGTCTGGAGAGTCTTCTGCCAAAAAAACCCGATCTCCATTCTTTGGTCACCTAGAGTTGATGCTTATTCGCCAGAGGTGAACAGGGAAGAGGTTCTTTCTCATTCTCCATTAATTGCCTCCCAAAATTATCTTCAGCAGAGTGATGCTCCATGGTCCTCACCATGGATATTTGCCCAAAGTTGGCCAAATATTAAAATAGTAATACTTGTCTTCTAACAAGCCAAATATTAGGTATCCTTATTTGGTACCAAAAGACCTTTGGTTTTCATTTTTGAAAACTGACATCAATGATTCCTTACAGTATTTGGTTTAGTTATTCCACTTTAATGGCAGTGGTGTTAGCCCTGGATGACACGGAATGTTATTAAGTATTTGATAGCTGACACTTTTCAAGAGAGTGCATTTTCTACCCACCAACATCTAAATAATCCAGAGAGACTAACCGCTCCTCAAATTTAAAAAAATGACAACATTTCCATGTTCAAACTTGAAGGCAGAGAAATGGCAGAATGCACCAAGCTCATTCCCATTTCATTCTAGAGCCAAATTCATTGTCTAAGACACTAAGGACCGGTGTCTTGAATTTTAAGAGATGCTACTTCAGGTTTTCATTGCCACTGGTTGTACCCTATTCCCAGAATTGGTTCCGTAGCTTGGAGAAGTCGTGTCAAGTGCGGACTAAAAACCGGGGTGGACTTCCAGCACCTCCAAAACTGAAGTCACTGGTGGCTACTAGCCCAAGAATTCCTCTTCCTTACCCTGCGCCTGTCTGCTAATGCGCTGTTTGCAAACAGGTGGGCACATAAATTATTGGTTTGTACCTAAGCTGGCAGTGGCCAGCCTCTGTTCTTTGAATGGCAGTCTGTTCTCTGGTCGGCGGTGTGCCCAGCTTGGAAGAGAACAATCCTCTAGCTTGAAAGGAGATTTTTAGAAAGTTCTGGGTGTTTTTTGAACTTCAGCTCCCAGCATATCTGGTCGTGGGCCACCATTATTCTCTTACAGATCCTCCAGTCCAAATCCAGTTTAAAGCTTTTGAAAACCATAAAAAGAGAAGACGCAGGCCGTCTTAACATTTCCTGTCAATAATCAGCTCCTAAATAGTAGACGGAAGGAGTCACAAAAAGGTCCTCACAGCCTTTCCTGTTCAGGTAAAACGGTTTGCGTTCTCTATTTAAATTCTTATAATCCTTTTTAAATTTGCCTCCACAGACAGAAATTAGCAGAAGCAAATTTGTGTTAATTGGTGTCCTCAGGGGTTGAGGTCTCTGACTGCAGAGCGAGAGGTTGTGAGTTCAAATCCCCACTAGGCCTTCTTGACAGGGGCTGGAGTCGATGAATTATAGGGTCCCTTCCAGTCCTGCAGGTCTAAGATTATTATTATTTAATCGAGGAGGATGTTTTTCTCCCTTCTTTCATCAATATGGTTCCTCCGATCCCAGAGCATTCTGTAAAATTTAAATAGGTACTCCAGGTATTGCTGCCTG